AATTGTACTATATAATTGCAGTATCCTAAAAGTGCGCTTCTTCTCATTGTCCGAAAGTCCGAACTAAATAACCTTTACACATGTATAATATACTTACAACTATATATGTATACAAGAAAAATTTTCAATGTCCTCTCATGTACCGAAGGACTGATATTTCAATTCATAAATAAATATAACATAACCTTATAAAAAATATTTGTTTGGCTTCAGCTTTCAGTGGAAGTTACAAAATTTTTTTTTAACTTAAAAAAGTGGATGTGCGAACTGTCAAGCCATTTCAGTTTTGCATATGTGTAAAATGAAACATTTTGAGTTTTTAAACATATTATCCGAAAATCCGGACTTAGGTATACATTTTTGTTATTGATTTGACAAATCATTTAGATTTGTTGAAATTTATGTAGATTAATTTGCAGTCTTCCGGAATCGCGGGTTCCATAACAATTTTCTTTCTTTTCTGAATGAAAAGTTTTACTAAAAAAAAAAACTCCGAAAGATTTCAGTATTGATTGGTTTTCGAAATCTCATGTACTTATATGTTTTCAAAATTAAGTTCATTTAGAATTTATAAATATGGTGGCAATTACTTCTTATTCAAGTTATTTTATTCAGAATATTAAAAATATTTATAAATAATTATTTAGAATATTTAAATTCTTCCATATTTCATAAATTGACATTCAATTTATTAAAAATTTCAGACTAATAAAACATATACAATTACTTATTTGTAAAAATATAACGAATGTCCGAACCAGATTGATTTTTATGAATGTCATGCGTCATCACACACATATGCTCATAAATGTTGTTTTCTGATGATTTCATTAAAATAAGGGCGGCACAATTTTGAAATTTCCATACTATAAAATAAAATGTTTTAATTGAAATTTATTTTTTTCAATTCTATTAAAAATTAAAAGCTTTTCATTACTCGTTTTTTTTTCTCCATCTATTTAAGTTATCTATAGCATGCATAGACTGCCGCTATGATAGTTTGTTCTGCTGTTTTTTTTTGCCTTTATTGATGCCAAACAATTTTCTATTTTTTTTTATTTAGTATGATGATATTTATACTTTGTTTTTTATTTGCATACAATTTATTAAGTTATTTTTGGATCAAAGTTCGGTTTCGATTCTCACTATGTTTCTAAATAAAAATTATGTACATACATATATATACATATACACATACTTATATAATTTATACTCATAAACTGAAGTTGAAAAGCTCTACAAGTAAATGTGCAGAATAATAAATAAAAGTTATTAAAAATTAAAATGAAAATTAATTTAAATATTTATTTCTAAACCACGAATATGATTGACGCTTAGTAAATAAAAATAAAATCATAATAAATAAAAAAATATGAATTTGTTCACAATGTTCACGCTAATTACACTTGGTGCTAAAATAAATTTTTACTTCATCGTTCAAAATTCTTTTTTTTTTCTTAATTCGATTGGCTATTTCGGAAAAATACAAAATTATTTTTTAGTTTTGCACATTTCCTTTTTGATTTTTGAATTTCTAGAACTTTGGGACACAATGATTGAATAAAAATAATTATAGAAGCTGCGTTAAATTTAAGTGTGGTCATTGTGTTAACTTTGATAGCCATTCTTACACATTTGAGACTATAGCATTGAAAAAGAAATATTTACTTCCTTCATTTTTAGAATTTTCTTTCTAATTGCTTTGTAGATGTAAATTTTATTGATATATTAGCAGAAAAGCTCAAATTTATTCCTAAGTTAAATTAGATTTTATGGATATCGTCACAATTGTCCTAAAATATAGGAAACATTAATATGCAAAATTGTAGTTTTGGGATTGTACAAAAATCAACACCCTATCCATTTTTTGTCATTACTTTTCTGAAAGTTGGTTTTTCTTCTGAAAATACTGAAGATTGGTTTTTGAATTTATATACTTAAGTACTTATAAACGAAACTATACCAGGATGAAGAGCTTATGTATACTAAATATTAGGTTGATTAAGCTAATTTTATGGTACTTCATAGAACAACACTTTATAGAACACTCTCATTTGATCTGTAAAATTTCGATTGTTTTTAGAAAATTATTAAAATTGTTTAATTCATCTATACATTAAATTTTATTGCAGAAATTTGTAAATTATCAATTATTTGGTAACTTAATTACATACAATTTTTCCTAATTAGAATATTTTTGAGGTCCAGCAGATTACATTCGTATCCGCGCTATACAAGTCTGCTAATTGAGTTTTATAACCAAATTTAAAAGTAGTCAATTAAGTATATATACACATTATTAGATTAAGGATTTCTATCTGGAAAATAATAAATACAAGGAAGAGATGTAAAAAATTCGACATCATTTATGAAACTTCATAATTCATCAATCCCTTTTTTTAAATTCGACCATTTTTAGGATTTTAATTAAAAAATATTCATAATTATCGAGATGAATACTTTATTTTTTATCTGATAAGCAGCCTCTTGTTTAATTCAATAGAAATAACTACATACTCATATTTAAATGCCTATAAAAAAATGTGGGGATAAATATAGATTTAATCTGATTTTACTGAATTTCTAACTCTTTTAATGTAAGTTTTTGATCCCTTAAGTACATATTAGTAGTTTTTATATTCAAAACATATAAAGTTTGTGTTAGATTCCTCCTTGCATAAATTGTCTTTCCTTGTCTGCTTTGCAAATGAAGGACGCATTTAAAATTTTATTCATACTAAATCAATAAACCTATATTTAACCCATTTTAAACTAACCGTGCATTTCACGATATCAATCATAAAACCGCACATACAACCATACATGACCTTTCTATTTTATAATAAATACAATTAAAAAAAAAATAGCAAACATTTCAATAAAGTCAACAATTTATTACTTTAATTCATGCCTCGTTTTCTATATTTTAACAATATCACCTAAATAATCATAAAATCAAAGTTAACAATTAACTTTAAAAGGACATTATTATATCCGCAACTATCAAATAAAAAGCAAAAATCAAATTTGGCTTAATATTTATTATAAAAAAAAAAAAAAAAAAATTAGTGATATTTTAAATTGTTTTCAAAGTACAAATAAAAACAAATGAAAATACAAAAACAAAACATTGGTTCTATTAATACTTCAAGGTTTCATTATTAGTTAGAAGGATTCCTTTGAAAAAAAAAATTGTTATCCTTTAAAATTGTTCACTATTGGGAATATTGTTCATTAAATGTTCATTTTTTTGTTTTGTTTATGTTGTTATACTTATTGTAGAGACACAACATTTTTGTTATCATATAATTATTTTACATTCTAAATTATTTACTGGCACGCAACGTGCTTTTACATATAAAAAAAACCAAAAACAGCAAACGTAAATTACAAAAAATAACTACCTGTATTGTAATTGTATTGACCATTTATAAAATTTTTGTTAAACAAGCTTTCCGAAAGCTTTACATTTAATAAAAATAGTTAAATACCAACATGAACTAATTTGTTTTAAATGAGTTTAAAAACAAATATGTTTAATTTGTTTAAATTAGTGTTAGCTCTATAATTATAACTAAGCATGTGATTTAGAATGTAGCTGATTAGTCTGTTGAACCTACAAGCATGAACGAAACTTGCAAGTATTCACTATTTATGAACTATTATTTAAATATGTACATATGCACTTTGTGTTCATAACCTTTATGAACATAACCTTCATTTGATGCAAATCTTAATCTAGAGATGTTGATGAAGGATATCTTGCAGGAAGACTAGTCCAAAATTTGTATATTTAAAGAATCAACTAAAAATTTAAATATAAAATTTGACCACGTATGACGTATTAGTTTTATGCGCCAATATATAAGTTATATACATTTTGTAAGTTTTTAAATTTAAAAAGTTAGAGGTACAGAACGTTGCGTATTAGGACAACTCTCATTTCAATATTTAGTTTAAAATACTTTTGACGGGAAATATACTTCGTATACAGTGTTTCCACTTTTTCTTGTTCAAAACATGGCCTGTTTGATCGAAATCATTTTTGCCCCATGGTCCATTTTCTAAATCTTAAAGAAAATTTCAATTTTTCAAATAAGTTTAATTTTGGCCCTCTTTTGTTTAAATTTAGCCCGTTAATTTATTGAGGAGTGGCAGCTATAGTCGTACGTCGTCATTTAGTCTGAACATTCAATAATAGTTTTCGTTTATTTTTTTTTATTTTTATGTGAAAATTTAGTTTTAAATACTTTTAAATTTTGTAAATATCTACATACATAATTATTTGCATATTTTGCAACAAAAAATCGTTTCCTTCATTTCACTTTTAATCTCTTTAATGAATTCGGAATTTTCTCTTAACTCGTCTGCAAAGCAAATATACCGGCAACGGAAGTTTCCTTGAATTATTGTTTTTTTTTATTTGTTATTATTTATTAATATGTACATATTTTTTATATAACACAAATAAAAACTTATAATTTTATTGTAAAAAATTATTGCTCAAAACAATATGACACTATTTAGACACGATAGAGTACTTAAAAATACATAAATGTGTCTAAGGACATTCACCAAACCAGCCATTAAAGTTCTACTTTGTTAATGTTATTTAATAAGAATGGTAGTATTTTTGTGCAATAAAAGCCCATGAATGACCCCCTCGAGTCCCTTCCATTTCCTTTCTCCATTTTCCCAATTTGCATAAATTGTTATACAGCAACTTAATGGAGAAAGTTGAGTAAAGAAGGTTGAAGTCACATCATTGTATAAAAATTTCGTAAAATATATTCAATGAATACCTACACTATGTATGCATGGGGTATAGATCCCTATAGAAGTTGATTTTTTTTTAAATTTCGATATTTAATTTTGAATTAATTGCTATTTATTTTATTTAAAAATTAAAATATAAATGTCATAATTTTTTAGGTATATATAGAAATTAAATGCCATATGGATATAAAATATTAATCAAATATCTTATTTTTTCTTTTCAGATTTATTAATTTATTAAAACCATAACGGAAATCCTTATTATTAAAAAAAAAATTTGTATAATTTTTTAAGAAGAACAAACAGAAATGAAATGCCGCCAGCAACTTCAAATGAATTACTTTTAAATACAGATTCTAAAACAGTTAAAGAAAATTCTTCATCAATTGATAATAAAATGTGCCTAACAACATTAAATGGAACAAACCCTACACCACCATCATCAAACAATTCAGATTCTAATGCAACAATCCCAGTAAATACCAATACAAATAACAATAGCAATCTACCATGTTCATCAAATATCAATATAAAATCTGAAATAAATGATAATAATAATTCAATTGAACAATTTGATAGTGTTATTAAACAAAGAAAATGTGAGACGACGAAAAATGCAGAAACATCTTCAGGAATTGCTGTTAAATCATTAGATAATAAAAATAATGATATTAATACGAGTGTAGTAAAAGATTTCTTAGAATCTGAGAAACTCGAGAGTACAAATGACGATGAAAATTTAAATAAAGAATTTCATCCACAAATTAGATGGCCAGATTTAATAGTTCAAGTATCATTGCATTTAGGTCTTGTTTATGGATTTTATTTGTTATTTTATGCAAAATATTTAACAGTACTATGGTGTAAGTATAGGTTTTTTTTTATAAATTAAAAATTTTTGATTTTCTATTAATTTTGTTACTTATTCATGCACTTTTCTTATTGTACCACGTAAAAACTTTAAAATACCGATTAAAATTTTCAGTTTCCAAAATACATTTGACTGAATTTTGCATAAGATTTTCAATTTTATGAAATTCCACAAACACCTATAACATTCACTTACTTATTCTCTTTTCACCCGGAATGGAAAAAGGATTAAAATTTTGTATATGGATGGGGAGCTTTTCGAACAAAATATGATTTTTATTTAAAAATTTTTAACAATAAATGCTAAAGAGACAATTTGTTAATTAGTGCTCTTTAATTAAGTAGTGTTAAAGCACTGATTACTGAATCATCCCGTATATGCAGTCATTACGAAAAATTTAAGTTCAAAACATCACCCTGAATATCGTGGGTACTTTTCTTATTTTAAAATGCTAATAAATTATTAATAATTGCCAGTAGTTTTTTCATGTTTAGTGATATAGATTAGGTCTGCGAGTATAATTTACAATGGTCTTTCTATTTTATTATAAATATTTTATTTGATTATGTGTTATATAATATGCTTATCTGTTATAATCTTGTTGTTCTACAAAAACCCCTTTTTAATCAATTAGATTAAAAGAAGGTATTCATAAATTTTTTTGATTTTTCGGTGAAAGTGTCCAACTCTTGTTAAAAAGCATAATATATACACATGTTTCCTTCATTTTTATATTCATATTCTGTGAAATAATTCCAATATTCACTAGTCAAGAACATCTAAGAGATTTTATTTTTGAATTTGAAAATAAAAGCAAATATTCTTACTACTCGTATAATAACAAAAATTGAATATCTCTTTGCCTCTTTATTGCAAAATCATTAAAATGAAAAATAAAAGTTAAAAAAGAATTCATTTTATGACCTAATAAATCATGAATAATTAATTATAACCTATACCAATCTAACCAGTCTAAACTAAATTAATTTAATATTATTAATATTGTTTGCACATTTTTAAAGATGATGTTACATTTTTAATAAATAAAATAAAAGAAAAATTCTTGTTGTTTGTCACGTGAAAACATGCGGCTCGTACGAGTTTACTCTGCAATAAATACAGTTAACACTTTGAATAAAAATTAAAAATTTGCAATTTGAACGTTAACGCATAGAAAAAAATTTTATTTTCACCTCATAAATAATAAATATACGTTAGTAAATCGTTCAAGTTATATTACAACGAATATTTGGAATTTATGTTGTAATTCAATATTATTTATTAATTATTCATTTGTGTATGTTAAACTAACCAACCAGAATAATTGATAGACAATATTTCTTAATACGAAAAGTAGGAAAAAGTTTAATTTAAACGCATTTTTAGAGAGAATTTGACAGTGGCATATTAAAGTTGATATAAATTTTTTATCAAAAATTATGATTAAGGTCAGAAATTTGTGTCTTGAGTCATGAGATAGTTCAAAATTTCATTTGATTACATTCTTGTTAAATAGCGTTTTATTCAGAAAATTAATTTCTGAACAAATATAAAATTATTAATAAAACAAATTAAAGACGTTTTCATTTTTTAACGCAGAACAGATTCAGATCTGTTAAAAAAAAAAAAGTTGATGTTTGTTGTTCTGTTTAGGTCAGAACACTCCGAACTAAAATTTCATATTCTTTTTTACAGTCAGAATTTGCTCAAATGATGTTTTAAACGCATCAAACCAAAAAACATTCAGTTTCAACCAAATTTACAGTTTTTAAGTTTTAAAAGCTTTATTCGTGTTGATTTTTGCAATCTGAGTTTCCTCTGATCTGAAAGGCGGTCTGACAACTCAAATCTAATCAGATTGATTCTACCTCTGAACTAAAAAATGAAAACGTCCTATAGTATAATTTTACAATTTTATGATTGTGTTTTACGTCCAACTTTAAAATTAGTATAATAATAGAATATTTGTACAAAAATTAGTATAAGTACAATAACTACACATTATGGAACATATGTACTTGAATGTTAAACATTTTATTCTCAGAATTCAACTATTCGGCTGTTTCCCAATTCGACAAACGCGTGCAACTGATGTTGCTTATGAATTCCAATGCGAAAATTGTGTAATTGCAAGCATCCTTTGCAAAATTTATTTTGTTTTTAATGACCAATATTGAGTTTCATGCACATTATTTAACAACATTATTTAATCTACCCATTGCCACCAATTAAAAAAATCAAAAATTTATTAAAATTTTATATTAAATTATAAATTTAATTTTTTTATTATTTTTCAGTCTTTACAGTGCTAGTTGGCTCAGGTTTTGGTATAACTGCTGGAGCACATAGATTATGGTCACATAGGGCTTATAAAGCAAAACTGCCACTACGTTTAATTTTAATTTTCCTATTCACCATTGCAGGACAGGTAAATAAAATTTTATAATTGGCTATCCTGAATGTATGCAAATATTTTCATTAAACCAAAATATAATCTTGGCGAATTCATTTTTATTTTTCACATATTATTTTAAGCTTTTGATATTTCGACAAGTTATTTTTTAAAATAGAAATTAAACACAGGCTATAATTGCGTACTTATATTAAACTTAAACACTTGGATATAATTTGAATTTTTTTTTATTTTTTAGCGCGATGCTTATACCTGGGCTTTAGATCATAGAATTCATCATAAGTTTTCTGAAACAGATGCTGATCCACATAATGCAAAACGTGGTTTCTTTTTCGCTCATGTTGGTTGGTTATTTTTAACTCCACATCCTAGAGTAGTTGAAAAACGTAAAGTTATTGATATGACAGATTTAGAACAAGATCAAATATTACAATGGCAAAAACGTTTATACATTCCATTGTTTGCCCTATTAGTTATTGGAATGCCAACATTGGTACCATGGTATTTTTGGCAAGAAGATTTATGGATTGCATTCTGGACATGTTTCTGTTGTCGATTTACAGCTGTTTTAAATATTGCATTTTTCGTTAATAGTGTAGCGCATATGTATGGAAATAAACCTTACGATAAGTGAGTACCGAATTATTAAAATTTATCAATTATTTTTTTAATTTAATCTATTAATTTTTTTTTTAATGAAAAATTTTTCAGAAAAATAAGTCCTACAGAAAGTTTACCAGTAGCTATTGCTGCATTAGGTGAAGGATGGCATAATTATCATCATGTTTTTCCATGGGATTATAAAACCGGTGAATTTGGAGATTATAAATTTAATATATCGACTGCATTCATAGATTTTTTCAGTAAGATTGGATGGGCTTATGATCGTAAGTTTTATTTAAATTAAATAATTGTTTGAGTCTTGAAAAGGTATTTTTAATCATGATATATTTTCTATTTTTAGGTAAATCAGTTTCGAAAGATATGATTGCTCGTAGAGCAGCAAAATGTGGTGATGGATCACATTTTCTTTGCGATGAAATGGTTCATCAAGATCCGGTATGGGGCTATGGCGATAAGGATATACCAAAAGAAGACGTTGTTGAATTAGAAAAAATGCACGATTAAATAACTAGGAGTATTTTTAAAATCGGATTTACAAAAACAAAAAAATTAACGTTGTTTAATTAATTCAGTGAATTGTAATGGTCGCAAAATAAATTTGAAAAATATGAATTTTCAGTTTATTAATGAAAAAAGTTTATTAATAGCTTTTAAAAAAAAATAATTTCATATATTTTTTTTTTGTATTTATACAAAATATATATATTTTTTTTGTTATTTGTTAAAAATAAAATATAATATAGAACAAAATGTTCAGCTATAAATGTATAATAAAGTATTTTGTTATAAGAAATGTATTAAACTTTTTTTTTTGTTTGTTATTTTTCATGTTTTGGTGTTTTAATTTTTAAGCTTAAAACAAACTTTTGCATTAAAAGATACGTTTTGTGTCTCATTTAAAAAAGTAGTAAAATAAAATAATGTAATAACTAAATCATATATAAGCAATTTTAAAAATTTTTTTACCGCATTATACTAACGAAAATTCTACATTAAATATGATTAATGGGTTTATTAATAATGCAAATAATTAACGATTGCGGCTGGTTTATGTTTCAAATAATAAAAAAGGAATTACAATATATAAATTTAAAATTCAAAATAGATAACAGCATTATGCATATTTCAAGATAGCTTTTAATTATTAAAAAGAAACCGAAGAGTTTTCAATTCCGTAGAATAGAACATGAATTCGCTTAAATATGCTTAGTTTTATCAACGCTTAATGAACAGATTACTTATCTTATAGAAATTTTAGCAATTTTTTTAATTTTTATCATTTTCATAGCCTGTAAATTACGTAATAATTAATTTTATAAATATTTATTAAGTTAAAAATTTAAAATATGCATTCAAAGCTCTATATTAAAATAAATTAAAATATAATAACGTCAACGTACACTTTTTAAACTTTGTACTTCTCCGCTCACTTCTATAGGCTATTATCATTATATTATTATATATTAGAATTCGAAATAGAGCTAAATAACTCTTAAACTTTTAAATAAAGCACAATAAGATATTTAATTTCGTTTGAATGTACATATATACTTTTATATATATATTTTAGAATTGTTTAAAATTCTCATTTCGAAATATTTTTTCAATACATTTTAAATTATGCAATTTTTCTTCTTTCTTTATGTGTGCTACGTACAAAAAAAAAACAAAAAAAAAATGATTCGCATAATCAGTTTTTTGCGGTGAATTCATTTTATTAAATAAAATTGTCTGCAATTTTCACTCATCATATATTTTATATATGTATTCATTTTTACTGGCAATATGTCATCATCCAAAGTACACTGATGAATGAATAAGAGTATAGTCATAAGATGTGAACGTTATCTTCATGATTTTTCTCTTCGAATTTACTTTTGATTTTGTTTAAATAAGAAATTTTAGTTTTTATGTAGATCATACCAGAATTTTGAGGATAGTTTTTATATGTGTAACAGTTTAGTTCAATAATTTTAAGGTTTTAGAACAAAAATGTTATAAAATAAGTAATTAAAAATAGAATTACAAAATTTCACAAAAGTTGCAAAAGACTCACTTTCATTTAAAAAGCGTGTATAATAATTAAAGTTTCTACTTGTATTCTAATTTAAAATTATTTTAATAATGAGAACAGAAATACGGCTACTGCAGTAAATGAATTGTAAAATTTTAAAATTCTAATACTGCTCCTATTGCACTAACTTTGTAGTATAATTTTTTAAACAAGTTGAGAAAGCTAAGCTATCTTGTTTGCTGCAACAGAAAGATAATTAGGAAAATACGATTTTTGAGTTATTTATACAGAAATTTTGCAAAAACACCATTTCTTCAGCTTAAAAATTTTCGTTTGCAATACATTATAAGATGCTATAATGAGAAAAATATATTAATTTTATGTTTTGTCAGTGTTTCGGAAAGGAGTACGGTCTGAGTTTTATTATACAATTATCAAGTAATAAAGTAAACTAATTTCTTTATTGTTCATTGAAAATATTCAAACGGAAGATCTTAATTCAATTTTATTAAAATCTTTTACTTGTAATGTGTCAGAGTTTGACTAATGTTTTTATAAATTTAATGCCAATTTTATTTCTTAATAACATAAAACAGTTGAAAATTTTGTTCTCAACAAAGGTATTTGATTGTAATTCATTTAGAAAGAATATATACATTAAAAAAATATTTTGCATGTAACATGGTCTCTTTTAATTAAAATACATCTAATATAATTAGAATAATTTGCGCATAATATTTAAAAACAAAATGAGCAATAAAAACTTATTAAGTTATGTAAATGACACTTAATAATCATACATAATAATATATAAAATGAAATTCGTTTAACTTATTGAAAATATTTACATATCATGACCGATAGGTTATTGCTACATACCATATTATACCTTTCGTTTTTATAATAAAATTTTTTGTTTTTTAAGTATTTAATTTAAAATTTGAATTTAAGGAACATTTAATTCTCAGTTATTCTTTGATTTCACTTTAAGTAAGACAATACGAACGCGTTAAGAGTGTGTCCATTTAAAATTTAATTTATTTTTTTTTACAATTATTAACAAAATAAAAGAAAAAATATATTTTAATAATATTTTTTTCATATAACTCAATTATTACATAAAATTATGTAAGTTTAGTTCGCGTCTTTAATTAACAAAAAAGTAGTGATATTAAAAATATTTTGTTTTTATTTGAATTCTTTCACGAATTTTTTACAAAATAATAAAATTTCTTCAAGGGTCGAAAGTGAAATTTGAATAATATTTGTAAAATTATTCATAAATAATAATTATTAATACAATAGTTTATATGAACATATTTTAATTTTTGAACACAAAAAAAAATTAAATAATTTTGAACAGGAAAACATTTACCCAATGTTTGAGAATATCATAAAAATATTTAATAAATTAATTGCTTTAAATGAACATATTCTTCATAATATCTACGTATTTGGAATAATCTTTGTTTTAAATATTTAAAAAGAGTTTTTAGTGTTACTCTTATGCAACCATGCGATCATTCATATTTGATTTTATTAAACAGTCTACATTTGATAGAATCAAATACATATATAAGTTTAAGCTTATGTATACATTGAATTTATTAGACACCAATTTAATATTGTAAAAATAATCGACATGTTAATATTTTTTTGAATATTTAATTTAATTTTTAAGTTCAATGAGCAAAACACTGTTTAGTTAATTTTGGTTTAGTATTTTTTTTTAATTGCAGAATTACTGTTTAAAAATTTGATCGCATCTATTTATTACTCTTATACGATTTATAAATAAATCGTATAAGAGTAATAAATTAACGTGCTTCATAATTGATTATTATATTTAATTCAATCAAAATTTGCTATGCATTTTGTAATTTGGAACATTAGAAAATTAAAGAAAATTTTTGCATTATCCATAGTCATTTGCAAATTATTGCGAAATACATTCAAAATCCCTTAGACTTTTGCGATAATTAAGTTCTAATTTAGGTAATAACATAGAGCACGTTCAATAAATCTATACTGAAAAAATTTACAAAAAGTAGAATGTTCGAAAATAACTGTTACACTTAAAAATTTTTTATAACTATTGCAAATATATTTTAAACTAGAAGAAGAGCATAATAGAAAAATATTGGATATTCAAAAATTGCTTGAGTATATTATAAATCTGAGCAAAAGTAAAATATTCAATTCATATAGATTTGCAAGATTTAATTTAGAGTTTTCAGTGCATCTCTGAATTATCGAAAATCACCAAACTTTTTTACAAATTAAATTGTTCCTTTAAATTAAAAAATTGTTCTTAATATACCATAGCATTTCTCAAAACATGAAAAAATGCATCACTGGACACCCTAATTGTATGTAATTCAAAGTATTATAACTTTTGTTTTACAGGCAAAAAAATTCAAAATTTTGGAAAAATTATATTTCCATATACATATGTACATATGAAAAAATCCATCGAGTACTATATGAAACATTTTTAAAAAATTACAAATATTTCTTTTATTAAAATTTCAAGAGAGAAAAGCCATAGTAAACACATTTTCCGGTTCTCTTTTTCATCTTAACAAAGGCTTTATTTTGGAGCTGAACATTAACTCAATAAAAATTAGCTAAAAATCTTAACATTTGGAAATATTTGCTATATTTCACTACTTTAATTTCACTTTTTTAATATTATATAAGTAAGCTATTCAATTTTGATTAAAATATTCAACACATTAGAATATTTTTACGGCAAAAATAGAAAATAATAACAAATTTCTATAAACAAATAAATATTCATGAGTCTTTATGATTAAAATATTGAAGTTCAATGGGGGCAATTAATTCATTTTAACCATATATAAAATTTCAAATATTTTACTGTAATGTACTTAAAACTCTTTAATGGCAAAGAACATCGGAATAAATTTCAAGAAACATTTTTTTTTCTATTAACAAAAATTTTTTGTTATTGAAATTTGAAATTTGATTTTAAACAGCAATTCATTTCAAAATTATTTTAGATAGGATCAAATATGTCAACACAAGAATCTGCAAGTTTAACAGAAAATCAAAGTAATGAAAATGTTCACAAGGAACCATCATCTGCAACTAGTAAAAGAGAAGCAAGTTGGCCATTTGTTTTATTTTATATTCACTTGAATATCTTAGGTTTATATGGCCTTATAGTTTTATTTACAAATACATCATTAACTACTGTGATATTCAGTAAGTGTTAAACATAATTAATATTGTGATTTAATTAAAATATATTCTTACATACATATATATTTTTACTTACAGCATTCATTCTTACTTTCCTTGGAATAATTGGTACTACGGCAGGTTCACATAGATTATGGGCACATAATACTTATAAAGCTAATAAAGTTTTAAAAATATTTTTAATGTTATGTCAAACAATGGCCGGACAGGTAATTATTATTATTGCCTTTAAATTAAATATATTAATGTTAATAATTTTAAAATAATTGTTTTTAAGGGTTCAATTTATAATTGGGTACGTGCCCATAGACTTCATCATGAGAAATTTAAACAAGATGATGATCCATTTTATAGTAAGAAGGATTTTTTTTCTGCACATGTTACAGCTCAACTAAGAGGTTATAGTGTAGAACAAGAAAAAATGTTAGAAGCAGTTGATATGAAAGACTTAGAAGAGGATGATGTTGTAATGTTTCAAAAAAGGTTTGAAAAATTTTTTTAATAAGTTTTTTATTTTATAGAAATAAAATTAATTTCTAACATTTTTTTTTAATTTTTCTTTTTAATAGATTCTATTGGATTTTATATTCTATATTATTTGTATTATTACCAATTAATGCACCACTTGAATATTGGGGTGATAATGTTTCAGCTGCTATATTTGTAGCATTTTCTTTACGTTATTTAATCGTATTAAATGTTAGTTGGTTAATAAATTCTGGTCATTTTATATGGGCATTGGATAAAAATCAAAAATCATCAGATTCAAATATGATTTTCTTTGTAACAAAAAGCTATTGGCCTGAATATCATTATATGCTACCAAAAGATTATCAAGTTAATGAATTTGGTGGTTATGGAACTGGTTTTACAACAATAAGTATAAGAGTTTTTGCATCTTTAGGATTAGCATCTGATGTTTTTACAATTACAACAAATGCCGTTAAACAAGGTTTAATGAATGCTATTGATAGAAAGAAAACTGGAGTTGATGAAAAGAAAACTATTTCTGAATCAATTATGGAATGTGCTATTAAAGATTTTGAAAATTTACCATATGATCATTATATAAATAAAAAAGTTTTGGTCTAAAATATTTTTTAGGATTAATATTTTAAATATTTAATAAAATAAATAATGTTATTTTTGTTTTTAATAAAATATTTTAATATTGAACTTAAAATGAAAGGAAAACTTTTTAGAAGTTCTTTTTTTATTTTGTATAAAGCGAAGGTAGCAAAATGTTATATTTATTAATTTACAGTGAAAAACCCAAAATGCCTTCATTTTAATACCTTGCAAAAGTACTATAAATTTGATATTTTCTCAAATTGAATGAAAAACATGTAGAGGATACGCATAAGTACTTTTTTGTTTTGTTTCACACATGATATTATATGTGAACTGCTTTTGCGTCAATTCTGCAGTATTACGTATTTTCTGTTCCCTCCCTCTTGTACATATCGTAAAATCTATTACTGAGTAAGCAAAAACTGATATTAAATTTGCATTATATAAATTACCTCCAGTCTCAAAGTAAAACTTAATGAAATAGAACCCTAATTTAAAACTGGGCGGGCAATTTTTTAAACAGTTTAAACTATGTATTTATTATCCAACAACAAACTATTAAAATAATGGCCCTTTCAATTATTGCAATGAATTTGTAATTTCTTATTCTGGGAATGGAGTTTTTAAAGAGCTTATAAAACACAAATCGATGACATATCACAAATGGTAATGAGTTGGTTCATAAGTCTATTCAATACGTATATAACGGATTTCGTCCAGAAATTTTTGAATTAAAATTAAAAATAATGGAATATATACTTATAAATGCAATGATTCATTTTCTGAACAATCGTTTTATGATTTTTTGAAAAATTTTCAAAATTGGTTTTCCTAAATGTATGCAAAATTTAACATGTAGTTTAATTACAAACAGAAGCTTTTCACAGATTTTTGTTTATACCGAAAAGTTGTTGTTTATTTCATGTACACACATATATGTATATATCTTGATACGAAACTTTTTACAGTATGTGCTGAAAAACTATTGAAAATTCAGCAATTGCTAGTTTCTGAAATCAAAAGCAATTTTAAACATTTTGAAAGGAAATTGTGTGTTTATTTTCGCTTTAAATAATTTATTAATCCTTTATTCTAGTCAGTTTGAAGTTAATCAACTTTTTTATTAAAAAATAAGAAAAATAATAGAAAAAAAAATATTAGAATATAATAATAGTCTTACAGCGGTTTGTAAGATTGTAAAACTCTACTTAGACACAAATTCTTAATAATCGATTTTTTAATCTAATAAAAGCTAAAAATGTGGCTACAAACAAATGTTGCTAAACGAATAAAAATACAATACAACAAAAATTTTATACATTTTACGGCAAAATTAAAAAAAAGACGGCAAATTAGAGAAGAATCCAAATAAGATTTTTACGATAAGGGAATAGAACAATCCCAATAGACACAGAGTCATGTTAAAAGCAAAATTAAATTAAATTTTATAAATAAATAAATTTAAATAAAACTAACCGTAAAATAGCCTCTTTTCATTTAACAAGTAAAGGTCCTTTACAAAAAAGGATCTTTGTTAAAATTTATTTCTTCAATCCGCTATTAAGTACATACATAAGAAAATAAACAAAATTATTGCCTACTTTTGCGATGGTAAAAAAATAAAGCATAATGGTCGAATCCCACCACAAATTTATTATTTACTAATATCTAAAAATTTCAATTACTAAAATTCACCGTCTGAGCAAAAAACGATATCAACAATTTAAAAAAACAAAAAAACGAGACTAAAATAACGGGTAATTTGGTTGGCCAGTATATCATTATAATTTTAACCTATGCTATTTTGTGGAGGAAGAAATCAGTCGTACTTTTTTGCGTAAAAAACTAGTAAAAATGGGAATTCTAAATGAGCTATAACATTTAGGATTCTTTCGGCGGACAGATAGAGTAAAACTATAATAAGCATTTTTTCTTGGAAAATTAACTTACTTTGGGGAAGTGCTAAGAACTAGAATAGGATTTTGATTTAGCTTCATAACCCTATAAACCGTCAACTATTTATAGTACTGCTTTTATATTATATAAAACCTATTTGGCAATTAAAATTTTTATTTAACCAATAAATTGAATCGAAGGCGAAATACCCTGTACCTATCCTTATTTCTTTTAATACAACATAAAACAGAGTATAAAAATTGTGAACTTGTGTTTAATTTACTAATATTTTTGTAATAAAAACCAAAATCTAAATTTTTATTATCTTAAATGAGAAAAAAGTAAAATTAAAGCTTCACGTGGCATTAATAAAATATTTTTGTTGTTCAAAACTCTTAGTTTTCCTCATCATGCTTGAGTATAATTTCGGAAATCAAATCTAATTCATACCTGGTCGGAATCACGTACAACCAAATTTTCTTCTATCTAGATATACACATGTACATATGTTTCTAATAATAATTATTAATATTCTTAATACTGTATAGGAACGTATGTGTATTATTTCTGTTCTTGCAAAAGTTTAAAAGAAAAGAACGTATTAAAACTGGATATTTTTTTTTGCTTGCTTACTTGTCTATTATTAATTTGCATGATGTCCGGCTATTTTAGTGATTCACACAACGACAAAGAAAAAATTAAAATTGCAAATTTGCTAAAATTTATTTGGATTGTCTGCTTGATCTTTTCAAAAGAAACATTTTAAATAAGAAAATAGGGCGTTGAACGTGTCAACTCTGTGACACTCGTACGAAAGTTTTTCAAGATGTTTGTGACGGTTGACAGAAGGGTTCATTGGGAATATTTTTTTTTCTATTGGTTGTTACTAACTAGGGTCGCGTAAATTTTGAGAATTTTATTTTGTTCTTTTTTTTTGTAATACAACAATATTACCTTTAAATTTGTAGTATGGAATAATAGCCCTATTAAACTGCTTTCACTTTTGTAAAGTTTGAAGACTGTATACTTTATATTAGTATTTGACTAAATCATTATTGAACTATGTAGTATGGCAGCTACTCCAGCCAACTGCTTCGTTACACAATTGCTATAAGTAATTTGCGAAATTTTGGATCAGCCTACCTCAATCTTGGACAGCCGGATAGACAAATGTAGCTTAATCGACACTGAAAAGACTTATTATTTTTTGTGTATTACAAACGGAGTGGTAAATTTGTAATACCCTTCAAGCTGTTGTTCAAATAGGGTATAAAAAAAGAAACATCGAAACAAATTTTGGAATACAATAAAATTGAAAATTTAAATTAATTATAATTTATCTATTTCAAATAATTATCAAAATAATTAACAAAAATTATTAACAAATTAGAAATTATTGGTATATGACCACATATATACAGCAAACAAACTTGAGACAATAAAAAAAATCTTAATAGTTCTTAATTTATTTACTTAACTGTTGGATTATTGAATAGTGAAGGTCGCTTGAATAAACACTTGATTAGAGCATTTATAAGACACTTAAATTTTTGGTGTAATTTTTAAAATTTAAAATCAGATTAGGTTTAAAATCTTATTATTTACTTCATTCCAAAATGGTGGAGATTTAAGCTTTTATTTCGAATCAGTGCCAAAATTGTGCCTAATACATTGAGAATTTTACCATTTGATTCAACTTCCTTGTTGCTATTTAAGCATTCTAAACGAAAATAAAAAGTTTAGGCACCATATTCTAACATTATGCTATGCTAATATTATATTCATTAAAACTAAGCATGTATTCAAAAATTAATTAATAAAAAACATAATTTCTCATTTTTTGAAAAATAAATTTGAATATTATAATAAAATATTTTAAATAAATGTTATACCGCATTGACTTTTTATAACAATATAATTTAAACTAATTTGGAATCAATAACCTCACGTGTGTAGCAAACATAAATAAAAACTAGTTTTAAAAAATTTTTTTTTTGCTGTATTACAAAAAGTCCAATTAATCTCAAGTCTTTCTTACTGAAGGCGATTGGAAAGGTAATTGATAATCATATCAGAATTACGATGTCGGAGGGGAGGTCGAAGTCAACACACGTATCAGCCGGCTCTGTACCAACGAAAACCATGAGCAATATACTAGGACATAAAGGGGTTAACACCTCGCATGAGGCGCAGGAACGTACCTTAACATTGCTTTGAATGTTGACTAAAATGGTACTGCACATGGGAGGTGTGCACAAATGTGGAGAAAGAATTCCACCCCGGTTGTGGACGGACTACTTGTCGTACTTGGCCTTTAGTGCATAAACTTCTAGGTACACGGAAATTGAAGAAGACCCTCTGTGACATAGTGCAAGGCCTAGTTTGAAACTTAGAGCACAGGCTTACCCAAACTTAATTCCAGAAAGGTGTACTAGGTGCCACCTAATTATAAATAATACCGATATATTCTTACGAATTTCAGGCTCTTATTTTGTTTTTACTATTCTTTTATATTTGAGTATATTTTATTATAGAACTTAAAAGTAAGTGAAACAATTCCTAATATTGCAATATGTAATAGTGCTAATTCATATCCACATACATATGAACATATTTCTTCATTTTAAAAAAAATATTTACTGTTTAAAACAACTTATGATTTTAAAAATAGAAAATGAAAACAATAGAAATAGAAATATTTTCTATTTCTCGTGTTATGGTTCTACCTCATGTCACGTTGACTAGCAGATGGTAGCAACTTTGTAGAAGAACAAAGTACCTTATAACATTGTGTTCTTTATTAATTTTACATACTAAAAAGTATATTTTGAGTTAAGAATATTAATATTTTATCCTAAATAGGGCTGGGACACATTTTCATTTTTTTCTTCCAAAATATTAAATATTACTATAAATTATAAACTAAGATATATATGTACATATATATAGGGTGTTTCGCATAAGAGGGCAAATATTTCAACGATGATTCACTGAACAATTTCCAGCAAAAAATTGTATAGGAAGGGGTGGGCAGGTATGATCGTTTTCGACCTACAGCCCGTTGAAAAAAAAGCATAACAGATTTTTTCTTCAAATAACTTCGGAACCATGCGTCATAGAGCAACCATTGGAGGCTTGTTTTACAGACTTGATGAAACTTATACAAGGTGATTTAGTAATCAGTGTTTTAACATGTACCACCTTTGAACAAAAATCTTAAAATCAGG